AATTATTATTATTATTATTATTATTATTATTATTATAATTATATACCGCATATCCATGCTCTACATAAAGCTCTATAATACGCTTTACAACTATTGTTACCCCCACTAAATCATATATCACTTAGAAACATTTTCGGCTTTCCGAGAAGCATACTACATGACTGTGCAAGTAGCTGCCTGGGTGAACTGTGGAAAATTCCAGTTAATTGCCACTCTCAAGGACACAACGTCGGACCCCAGGCGGGGCTCGAACCCATGCCCTTTTGATTACGAGCCCGGCAACCTAACCTTAAGACCACCGATGCCAATGAGTTTTACACCACAACTTAAAACAAACGGTTAGGCTTGGTGAAAGACAACAGTGTATAGACTACAGCAGCTACTCTATCTACACCCCCTCCCAGACCCCGCCAAAAAAATCCTTTTCCTCTTCCCTAACATCCCCCTCCCCCTTTCCTTTTCTGTTGATTCCTCGCGATCGTCTTCTCCCAAACACCGTATAAACACTTTACGTCTGAGAATCTACTGAAGCATTATGCGATCAGAACAATTTATTAAGCAAGAATGATCTCTCTTTGAAGATTTATACATCACTTCTGTTCAAAGGAAAGTAAATTATTTCATTCAAGATTTAAAAGAAAAAAAAGCAACTTTGTGTACTATAAGGAATAGGAAACATCAAAACGAAGTAGCGGAATAACCCTTCCAATTTGAAGCGTGTCCAACTATGTTTGTGCAGATAATATACATTAGTCATTCAAGAGAGCTATACAGCTATAAAGTATTTCTCCCTATCAAAACAAACCTGTACAAGTTGCCATGATGGTCTTTTGCGTCTTGCACTATGCATGATACAGCTTTACGTGGGCGGTAGATAAGTAGAAATATAATTTCTAAAACGCCCTCTGAACACCAGAGGAAAAATGGGCAGCAAGCCAGTTTGATAAATTGCAAATGAGTATATTGGTCTACATGGCAGTGAAGTGGTGAGCAATTTGAGCGATCACAAACAAGTACATAGATCGACACGGTAGTGAAGTGGTTAATATCAAAACGGTCGAGAGCAAAAAGGTGCGGTATGCATACAACTTCGTAGCGGTGTCAAGAAGGTTGCCAATACGGGGTGCCCACTCGCACGATCGGGTCGGGTCGGTTTGCTAACCAGATTGAAGACGCAAAGCGGCTATCGTGGCACAAACAGATCGCCCAACTGTGTTTGTTTTCATGCGACGAGGCGGGCGATCCACCCGACTGTTGTTTTTTTTAAAAGTTGTTTGTGGGGTTGTTGGATTTTTGTTGTTGCTGTTTTGTTTGTTTTTTTGCTGTATTTTTTTTTTTTTTTTTTTTGGGGGGGGGGGGGGTAAGTGTTTTACAGCGCTCGCAACTACGTAAGTTCATTTAAGAACGCGGCACACTTTAAACATTTTAAGTTGGTAGGAAATTTCCTATTTTGCCCCCATGGCGGCTGAAGCCTACTTTTTATCAATTATAATTGTGGCCCATCAAGGGATCTTTAACGTGCACAACTTGCACACGGGACGTTTGGGATTTTTCTACCTTTTCTGAGAAGGCTATTAGTCTTAGAACTTACTTTCCATAAGAAAAGGGGTATGGCTAAAAGACAGTAGTAGGAAGGAGCCAATGAGTAGCAATAGAACGGCTGCAGAAAGAGTCAGGAGCACAGTGGAGGAGGCAAAGGAGGTGAGGGGTGGGGACAGACGACAGAACTTTGTTAGAGAGCAGTAAAGGAGGTGAAAATAGAAAATAATTCTAGAGAAGAATATTTCCGTTGCTGTCCGGATTCGAACCGGGGCTTATTGAATGAAAGGCGGACACCGTAACCTCTTGACCACGACAGCCCCCATTTTGGCTGTATTGACGTATCGTTTTAAGAGATATGGAAAACAAACAAAACGATTCAGTGAAAATTTAAAAAACGTTCCAAACAAAATGTCTACGAAGAATTTTACAAATAAAACGGAATGAATTTATTACAAATAATGAAGTGTTGGAAAGAACTGTAACTGAAGATATCAATCCAACAATAAAAAAGAGAAATTGGAGATATCTGGGACATGTTCTGAGAATGCGGAAGACGAAATTGCCCTATCAGACATGGCATTGGAAATCAACTGGAAAAAGAAAGCGGGGAAGACCAACTGAAAGTAATAGAGGCACACTAAAAGATGCGGCAATCGCCCAGGGCCAAGATTAGACGAAATTTGAGAAAATGGCCCGGGACAGACGAGCGTGGCGTCGACCGCTCTCCCAACAATATAGGTAGAGAGCACGTAAGTAAGTAAATGACCCTGTTCTGTAGAATTTCAGTTTTGTTTTGTACGAGATCACATTTTTTTGCGGCTGGCGTGCTGTCCAAGTGATTTGTGAGACATCAAAACGGAAAAAACGGAGTTTGAACACTTCAGCACAGGGCATACTGTGTAACATTATAACGGTATTATCGTTAGCACAGTTCTGGAAAACCTATAAGTCCGGAATTTTTCGAGTCTCTCCCCCCCCCCCCCCCACCCTCCACACACACACACATGATTTGTCTCAATAAAATTATCTATAACAAATTGTTTATAACTAATACAAAAAGAAAAAAATGCATATTGATATTAGGACCCGAAGTATTTCCTAATATTGAATTAACACAAGTGTATGCTAGTGGAAGTCTGAAAAAACTGGTGCATATAATAAAAAACAACAACAACAACAACAAAACCCAGCCACAATAAGTACTCTGAGTGGTGAAGACATCATGGCCGATTACGAGCTATTACACAATAGTTTAAGGGCTACGCCAACAATGATATTATGACAAAAAGTGAACAGTACTGTTTTTGTTTGATGAAAACATCACGTGGCAGAGGCTGCCTGCACTCTTACCGTGACGTAATCACTCCGTGTGTTGACCAATTCTCTGGCCATTGACCGTGAAGTCTTTCATGGCGTCTGTTTGTCCACCTTTCTCTTGTGTGTTCTGCCAGTTTGCACGTGCGGCTGGAATGTGGCCCAAAACTGATCAATTTCTTTCAGATGCAAAGAACAAAGAGTTGAACTTTGAGAAAACACATGATTTGTGAGCATGATTTGTTTTAGAAGAAAGTAAAATGTAGAGAAAAAGAAACGCATTACAAATAGCATATTATGACGAAGCTGTTATAGATAGATAGATAGATAGATAGATAGATAGATAGATAGATAGATAGATAGATAGAGGGATAGATAGGTGCTCGATCAGTGCAGAACACGTACTCAACCATAATTATGTTTTCTTCGCTTAGTTTAAACAAAGTCTTGGGGCAACTGCAGCACAAATAGGTCATATTATTATAGGTGGCAAAAATCAGAGATGTTACCATGTTACTAAAGATTAACGTACAAAGAAAATGAGAGAGATTAGGGTGATAAATGTTTGATAGGAAAGAAGGAGTAAACCAGACCAGAGCACGAGTTCACCACTCACATTTTATTTGTTTCTTGTCATTCTGTCCTGTAAATAGCATAATTCTCAATGGAACGGAATCAATAATAATAATAATAGATATCATTTATATAACGCAAATCTCCGCTCAACAGCAAGCTTTATGCGCTTCACAATCTAAACTATTACCCCAGCAGACCTGAGAGCATTCTGAAACAACCTCAACTTCCTTGGAAGCATACAGTGCAAGTAGTCATTTATAAGCGCTAAAACACTAACATTGGAATAAATCATCGTGAAAATCTAGCATCTTTTCTCAGAAACTCAAGGCACCGGCTTCTCAAAGGGTGAAAGAGGGCAATTTTGTATGTAAATGAATGTAGTATAAAAACAAAGGCAACAAGGAGCATGAAAACTTAATGGAAGGAACAAAAGATCTCGTAGTAAGCGGACCGCTGAGGATTGAAGTGAATGCTTTCTTCCTTCTAATTCTTTGGCAAACATGAGGCGACGTACAAACACACAGAGTGACGTATCATAGTATTGATCCAGCTTAGGTTACTGTGGTTCACGATGGAATCAGAAGTGTCCATAGGCATAAGGTTATGAGTTTATCAATATCCCGATTGATTCACGTTCCCTTGTCAAACGCCTCTGAGCGTCATTTCCGGTCTGTAGACAGTCATTGCTCCATAGTGGTTGGATAAAAAATAGAATTATGTGAGTTCTTAATTCGCAGCTCACAGCGCTGGGGTAGATTTATGAAAATATTGTTATGCTCTAGCGTGGGTGGATGAAAAATCGCAGTATGTGAATTCTTGATTTAGGCGTTCACAGCAGCACTTGCGTTGGTAGGTAAGTCAGTATGTGAGGTTATGATTCGTGGTTTACAACCGCAAGTTGTTCCTGTCTTGTTGTGTTGTCAAAAGATATAAAATTCCGATTGCTTATCTATTCGAAGTGGCTAGGCGGTAATGGCCCAACAAGAAAATAATGAGCGGTACGCATTATAATGAAATATTGATCGAAGCACAGAGGCGGTAAGAGATGGTCTTAACTATCACTTTAGCTTTTCAGTGGTTGATTTAAGCCGTGGAAATGTTTTTAAAATTTGGAGAAGTGCAATAAAAGGACATACATAAATGTAGAGGATTTACACTGCAGCACACAACATCTGTGGTGTTGTGTGGGTAGGTTCTTCTCTATCGCACAAAGAAAACCTGAGTTCACATTCCGTGTAGGGAGAATTTTTTTCGATTATCCTAATCTTTCTTTTGGGACGTTGTATCCCTTTCAGTCCCAATTGTCTCCGATAGACAGGGTTGAATTCGCTACTTAAAAGATCAAGATTGAGTTGTTTGTGGCGTAAAAACAGCTACCTAAAAAATCAGATTGCATGAAAGATCAAGTATAAAATCAAAGCATTGAGACGGTGTCACCTAAAACGTGTGTTTAATAATTGTTGTGTTCCGGCATTGCATTCATTATTTTTCAAATATTTTTTTTTTCTTTCCACATTCAGCAGCTGAGTCTCACAGGATGGAGAAAAGGGTACTTGTTTCTTAGCTTCTCAGACTGGGATTTCACAGAGTTAGAGATTCACACAACTGCTGGGGACAGATTTCACTCTTCACAGCCATTTACTCTGAGTGGTGAAGACATCATGACAGACTATTCTGGACAGAGGAAGTCGTCAAAATACTACAAGCCGGGGATTCCAGGTTTCTTTAGATAAATCGCAGACTTTCTTTAATTTCCTTCAATCTGCAAAAATGTTCAAGATGTGCCAGTGAACATGAAGTTAGCAGGAAACACGTGTTTAGCAAAGCAAACGGGTGGAATGATTTTCTTGGTGTTATTTTGAATCTATTTTTTTATAATCAGAAATTGATTTGTCAATGGGTATAAGTGTTTGATTGTTTAAAATTGAAACTGCATTTGTGTTGAGCTAAATTATATTTGGTGAAAAACAGAAACTGATTCTTTAACTTTTATTATAAGCCATCCTTGCATAATTTGCTAATGTTGTTGATATGCAAATGTGACAATGCTGCAGCAATGCCTTAGTCCAGTCTCAATATTTAGCCGGCAAGTTCAAAGTATGTTAGAATGGGGGTCTTAATTGTTTTCCAGTGGTAGACAACTGTAGAATATTCATCTTCAGAAAATGTTGACGTACTTGGATGTTTAGAAGTCATTTCCGTGACACAGACTGTGTTTCTCAAGACAAGGGGAAGCAGCTCAGGAACAACTAAGATTGACTAAGGAGTAAGAATGGAATACGAAATGAGTGAGTAGTCGAGTAAAGATCATGTAAGTATCAAGTTAATGTGGTGTAAAGACAGCGTAATAACAAGAAAGAGTCGTACAGTACATGGGTCGCAAAAAAGATCGAATAAGGATCTTATTTACATCGAGCAAGGATCAAGCGAAAATCGAATAAGGATCAATCACGAATACAGGAATATTCAAGGAGAAAGAAAGGAGATAACACCGTGCCCTAATAACAAAAAGGATCTTGTACAGATCTGTTGAGGATCAAAGGACAAGATGGACGACAAGCAGCTGGAGGAGCTGATGGTGCAGAGCTTCATCAAGATCATGATGGAGACTGAGCAGTCTGCCGAGGGCAAGGCGGAGCTGGTGAGGGAATCTGTTCACTTTGTGATTCTTGTGATTTCTCTGTCTTAGTTGGCGATATTGTTGTTGTTGTTGTTGTTGTTGTTGTTGCGGCTGCTGTTGTTGTTGCCGTTGCTATTCTTAGCTGTTGTTATTGATGTTGATGTTTATGTCGTTGTTGATGTTTGTTGTTGTTGTTTTTGTTTGTTGTTGTTGTTATCATTATTATTATTGTTATTGCTCTTATCATTGTAATAATAATAATAATGATAATAATAATATAATAATAATAATAATAACAGCAGCAGTAGTAGTAGTAGTAGTAGTAGTAGTAGTAGTAGTAGTAGTAGTAGTAGTAGTGGTACATGTATTTGCTATTCTTGCTATTCGTGTAGTTATCATGTTCAATACCATTAATAATGTTGTTGTTGCTGTTGTTGTTATTGCTATTGTTGTTGTTGTTGTTGTTGTTGTTGTTGTTGTTGTTGTTATTAGTATTATTGTTGGTGGTGGTGGCGGACTGTTGCTGTTGCTCCACACTGTACTAAAAGAGACTATCGTCCCTTTCATCATAGAGAACAATCTGACGGTTATACTGTATCTGGTTACGAACATTTTCTGTGAAAGTAAAATGTACCCTCCTCTACCCTCTCTCCCTCTCCCCCACGTCGTCTCTCGTCCCGGGGAATTAGAGCCAACTGTTCTCTGTTTCTAGCAGTAGCAAGTGACAAGTGAACACTTCACATTGGATTCATCGACTACAACTTAGGGGAAGTCAGATTTTCCTTTGTGGATGGGGCGAAAGCAACCATTTTGGAAACATTACGACCAATACGACTTGCAACCTTGAAATGTAAATTCATGCGTTCGATTTTCAAGTTTTACTGTCGAACCTATTTGAATTCGGTGATATTGTGTCAATACGTGGGCTTTTTTCCAACCCAAAAAGGAAACTCTTCTGTGCCCCGACTTAAATCGATTAATTTTGATTTGCAGTGTGCACTGGGTTTAAGACAGAGCACCAACCATACAGTAACCCGCCTCCCCTTTTTCCTCCTCTCTCTCTCTCTCTCTCTCTCTCTCTCTCTCTCTCTCTCTCTCTCTCTCTCTCTCTCTCTCTCTCTCTCTCTCTCTCTCGCTCTATCCCAAATCCGATTGACTGTGGTTAATTTAATTGAATTTTGTGCATTTCCATTGAGACAGAGCACCAACCATACATCCCCTCCCCTCCCCTTTTTCCTCCTCTCTTCTCTTCCTCCGTTTTTCCCTTTCTCCCATATTTTCCCTTTCTCCCATATTTTCCCTTTCTCCCATATTTTCCCTTTCTCCCATATTTTCCCTTTCTCCCATAT